ATAATAAAATTACTAAATGATTATCTTTTCAATGGAAAACTTATAAAGACTTACCTTTTGGCATTAAATACTGAAGAGCAAGAGTTATTAATCCCCTTTAATATTTCTCTTCAATATAGCCAAAGCCATTATTTGATTATACAAGCTATATTAAGCATGTTAGATTTGGTTTACATTATGAAGTTATTCAATGGCTTAATTATAATGGTTATGATAAATTTAAATATATATGTTTTACAATGATTTTAATGATATTCTTTTTGATACAATTAAATATTCTTTAATTGCAATGCAATGTTTCTACAAACAAATAAAAAACTAGAATGTTTGGAAATTTCTAATTTTAATTTTAACACTGAATTAGTGAAAAATTTATGTAGAAATAGTACAATTAATTTCTTAACACTTTGTAAAAATTTGGTTAACTCAGAGAAAATAGCAGAAGTTCTTTGCAAAAACATGACTTTAACTTCTTTAAGACTTATAAGTATAATATTAGCATTGAAGGGGTGAAAGCTTATCAAAAGCACTTCATGTCAACACAACTCTAACTTTTTTAAATCTTGATGATGATAATATTGGTATTAACACAACTCTAACTTTTTTAAATCTTGATGATGATAATATTGGTATTAACACAACTCTAACTTTTTTAAATCTTGATGATGATAATATTGGTATTGAGGGAGGGGAGGAAAAGCACTGGCAGAAGCACTTTGTAAGAACACTGCCCTAACTTCATTACACCTTTTATAATAATAATATTGGTAATGAAGGTGGGAAAGTACTTGCAGAGCATTTTATATAAACACTACCCTAACTTAATGATTTTGGTATTTAGGGAGGAAAAGCGTTAGCAAATGCACTTCATACAAACAATACTTTAACTTCTCGACATCTTTATAGCAATAATATTGGTGCTGAAGGAGTAAAAGCGTTAGTTCATATAAACACAACTCTAACTTCTTTAAGTCTTGGTGACAATAATATTGATATTGAGGGAGAAAAAGCATTGGCAAAGACACTTTGCAAAAACATCTCTAACTTCATTAGACATTTGTAAAAATAATATTGGTTATGAAGGTGGAAAAACACTTGCAGAAACACTTTATATAAATGCAACTCTAACTTCTTTAAATATTAGTTAAAATAATATTGGTAATGAGGGAATAAAAATATTAGCAAAAGAACTTCATATAAACGTCATTTTAACTTCTTTAAGACTTAATGGTAATAATACTAGTATTGAAGGAGTAAAAGCATTTACAGAAGCAATTTGTGCAAATGCTGCTCTAATTTCTTTAAATCTTTCTTATAACCAAATTAGTCTCCCTATATCTTTATGGCAGCCGAATTAATCATGAAGACAAGAATATATTGAAAAATATCAATCACATACTTTATTGAGATAATTAAGAGAAAAGTTGTACCAAAAATTATTTATACAAATGTTTTTATTCTTTACAATTTTATTATAAAATTTTAGTTTAAACCATATATGAAGTTAAATAATTATTTCTTATAGAAGTGGTTATTAAAAAAATGTTTAAATAATTAATATTTTTCTATGCTAAAAAAAATTAAAACTAGATTAGTAGGTCACCTTAAATACACATGGAAACAATTAATTTTATATGGCCCTATAGCAGTTCTCAAAATTGAAAATAAAGTTGTATAAGGAACAGAGAAGTTTCCTTAGCTTGAATTATCTGAAATTTACGAACCTGTCATTTTTTAAAAGGTTTTTTTTTTATTTGCCATTCATGTTTATCCGTTTTTTCAATTATAAGTTATTAAAAGGCGGAAACAAGTTAATTTTGAAATTATAAATAAAATGTTCAAGCATAAGAAAATCTTAAATTAGCCCGACGAACATGCGCGAAAGAAGAAAAAGTGAAAATGCTCATGTTTAAATCGATATTGGCGCACTAAATGAAATGACAAGCGAAATTTATTAAATATAAGCGACAGTCTATCTCTAATGCTAACATCCGCGCTAATCTTATTTATAACACAAGCCGGGAGTGTAATATCGGTAGAATTATGAAATAAGATTTGTAAAGGTAAAAGTTTCCGAAAAAAAAACATAAAATACGAGCAATGTCAATACAAAGCTTAAGCTTTGAGACTTTCTAAAGGTAAAAATACATGATAATTTAAATACGTGCCTCGTATTTAACTAGGAAAGCTAATATAATGATCATTAAAGTATTACAACCAATCCAGAATCTCGGAAGTATCATCAAGATTGTATTCAATTAAATCCATTATTCTATTGGAGATTTGTCTTCCCTTATATACTTCAAGATTATCTTCGAATATATTGTCGCAGTGCTGCATGATACCCATGTGACTAGTGATCGGGTACGTGTTGATCGAACGTCGTGATCTAATGTCGGGTGATCACGATTTAATTAAAAATCGATTGCAGTATCATTAGCGATTAGTAATATTATATAAGGCATCGATCCAAGTAGGGGAAATGCCAGAACTTATATTCTTAGTGAATAAACTTTGGTTCCCGATATCTCTTTGAATTATTCTTAGTGAATAAACTATTTATCTGTGTGAATACATTATCGGTGGTAGTCTCTGATACGATACTCCAGTCATAGCCAAGCGAGTAAAGACCGATAGTAAAGTTAAAGAAGTACACAGAGTCAGGTAAACTCCGTGACAATATTATGCTACACACTAATTAGGCTATAATTAATTTCTTGCATTATTCAGTTATTTATACAAAGTTTATACACCATTATATTTCATATATTTAAAATTTCGAGAATTAAAATAAATTAAATAACAGGTATAATAATCTAAAATAAAACTATCAGATGAGTATTGATCAGCGGTCAGTTGAACCGTGTGCCTGACCTAACCTATTCGGTGCATTAATTATATTATTAATACACATTGATCACTGATCAGATCACACTTAAATTTACATTAATTTACATTAAATATAATCTTTAAAATGCTATTATTAATTTCAGCACACATTCAAAATTAATCAATAACGGTAATAACAATATCCCTGAAGTTCCGTTTATTCACATACGGATCAGGGTATTGTATATTAATCATGATATATAATGATCGGGAATTGACAAAATTATGCATAAAAAATTTTTACAAACCAAATTCATAAAATAGATGATTAAAATAATTTTCACATTTATATACATTGCCACGAGCTAAAAGTGATATTGATTGACCAAAATAAAGTTCAACCAATTAGAATTGAAGATTTTGAATAAAATTTACAAAACTCTTATATTAAACCTAATGTAGCCTTTAAAATAACAAATTTCTTAGTAGCTTCGAGCATCAGTGGAATGTTCTAGTGGTTTCAAAAGGACGCGAGGTTGAGAGAAAATTCCGCGAGGCAGTGTAGATTGAGTGTTGGGTTGACGTTGAAGAGAAAGAAAGAATCCCTGGTTTTAAGGAGAATCCGATAAATCTTAAAGGTATGGGCTGTGTGAGAAATATATTAATTAATATTAATTCATAAAAGCCTTTATGTCCTTATACTGATGAACAGATGAAGAGTTATAAAAGAGTTTACTTTCGTTTGTTTATCCCTCAATATATTAATAAAACGCTTATATTAAATTTCTCCTGCAGTTTAAATATTAAATTGATATTTCTAAAACACCATTGTAATGCCTCCTGGCGAGTTATCATATTGTTTCTTCATCTTATTATATAAACTAAGCCCTCCAATTCACCCCGTAACAACGTTTACATATTCTATAAATATAAGTTAAATTTTTTTTCACTTGTATTCGCTGATAATGATGATGAAATACTAAATTTGACAATCAAAACTTCATTAAGGATGAAAAAACTTGATACGCATTACATGTAATAGATTAAATGGATTTTGTATAATGTAAAATGGGCAAGCCACTGAACAAGTTTTGGAATGCAATATTTTTATGGTTAGGGATCAGCTTTAGGGTAGAATATATTATAAGTGGTTTTTAGGAGGTTAAAAATAGAATTTTAATTTTCTGTTTAAAATTTAATTCATTGTGATCGGCGAAAATATACATGATAAATTTTTTATTTTGCATTTTAACTGATAATCAAAACCGTCAATCTGCAAACTTCAACACTTGTTGACTAATTTTAAAATTCTATATCTGGAATCAAAATTACATAGATATTTTTTGAAAAATCGACTGATTTAATTGGCTTTGGCAATATCGCTGCGACGCTACTTTGAAATGGCTTTCTCTCAAGGGCATTGCTATGGCAGAAAAGGTACGAACAAAATTCATTATAAAGTTAACTAAACTAGTGAAGAATCGATCTTCTACTATCTCTTCATTTGAGTTTGAGCAACAATTAATTCAGCTAACGAATAACTCAGTCAATAAACGGGATGGCATGATAAATTTTCAAAGATCGTAAACAGCCCAGCTGATAATGATGTGATAAATCTTTAAAAATTGTAAAGAGTTTAAGCTGAAAAAAAAATGATGTAAAAATAAACATTCAAAGCTAAAGTAATTAAAGCTAAATTTAATTATACTGTAAAAAATTTCTAATAAATAGGGACGCTGACATGTATTATGTAATCGTTTAAGGGATGGTTATATTATAATATTAAGATCATAAAAAAATTATATGTTAGAAGGAGAGGGAATAAGCCTCTGTGATAAATGGAAATTATGTAATTAATGCCATTGCCCTAGATCATTTTACCAATTGTTTTTAAAGCCAAGAATTTTTTATCTTTATTTTTTTTTAGAATTATACTTACTATGAACCATAAACGCAGTATATTCAATGTTGACGAAGCATTTAAGTCCGAATAATTTGCTTTAATACAAACCATTAATCACATGAGCCCAGATTTCTATATAAAATCTGTGTGTTCTTGCCTTGGTTTCAAATAAACTTCGCATATCAATATTTGAAGTTAATCAATATCCCTGGAATATCTCTAGAAAAATTCCATTCCAATGGCATCAAAACTTTTCTCCATTTTTATTATGGCTTTAGTCCTTATTTTAACCATTGCTTCGTTCGGTAAATTTTTTTAACATACTATATGAATATGAATGATTCCATCTCTAATATGATACGTATTTATATTTATTAATATATAACTTTGTAATAATTTCTTTCACTACGATCAGACGAAGTAGGAGCATGCAATATTGGTAAAGTTACATTATTCTTAATATTTAAAATAATTCTTATAAATAAATATAATATTAACTACCTGGTTACATTTTAAAATCGAATTTTCTTTAGTTTTGAAAGGTAAATTCACGCATCAAACTGGTGGTATCTCTGGCTGTTACGGAACTGATAATACCGACCGAATTCGTGAAGCTCGTTGTTTAAATGGACCTTGCTGTTACACTTTTTATTCTAAATATGGCTGTAAGGGAAGAATAGTTGCAAAAGGATGCAATACATCTCACTTTGCTCGTCCTGTCAAAGTCTCATCACTCCGATTATCATGTAGATAATATAATAATAGCTTTTTTTGTTTTTTATAAATGTTGTTAGTTTTCAGTTCTAAATCATAACGCATTTATAAATAAATAATTGTCCTAAAAAGTTTTTGAATTTACTACTCAGCTTTCACATAGAATGTGCATTATCTACACATATATTAGCTTTAAAATAAATTTCAAATTTACCGATACACAATTTAATTGATATATATTATATTATAATTTATTTATAATAAATATGACCCTAATGTTACCAGCTTAAAAAAATTTTGCTAAAAAAATATTTACTGTTAAATAAAGCTAATAAGTTAGGCAAAAAAGAACTTTTATAATAGGGGGTTTTAGAGTTAACTTATTTTGAAAATAAGTGGGAGTTTGAAAAGTCCTATTTTTGGTTTGAAATTTCGAAATCAGAAAATGAAAAAGGAGTTGTCCGAAAATAAAATAAGCAAACTTTTTTTAATGATGTATATTATATCTTATTATATAAATAAGCTTACAAATAAAAATAAATAGGATTTATAGATCTCTGATTACAAAATTAATATGTCGCTAATTTAATTTGAAATCAGAAACCTGAACCTTAACTGAAATCCCTAATACCAAAATGTTATAAGCTTTTTAATTAGCGCGCAGAAGGCAATTTCATAGGTTAAATGTTTAGTCTTAATCGATTTTTTGGTATGTTTGCATTTCTTTTATTGACCAGCAAAATTTTTAAAGGAGATCCGCTAAAACGGGTACCGTACAGCACCACTGACTAAAGGATCCCGTCATGTATTATATCCCTTATCATCTATTGAAGATTTCCTCCAAAATATCTGGATATATCCGTTTATACAGTGTACAGTACATATATGAATACATATTTTATTAGACCAAGGCACCCCAAAATACCCATCAAAAATGGTCTATTTGCAAAAAATACCCTGTACGGTAATTTTATACGTACGTACTAGTACATCAGAAATTAGACCGTAAATTCAAAAAATTACAAATACGAATAATACGAAAAACTGATGTCTAAACCTTTTGGGTACTAGTAAAAAATGTCGGGATGGCAATATTACGTATAACACCAGCTTACCCTAGCCCTAAACTAAATTTAACCCCAATTTTAATTAAATGAACGCATTTACGCCACTTCAGCGATCCCTATTTAAATTTCTTTTGTACGACAATCAAATTTCACTCTTATGTATTTATTACGTATCGTACGTACGTACGTACGTGCGTACCTTATACACACATCATGTCAAACTTACAAAGCGCTAATAGTAAACGATACTTGAACAATCAAGTCGCTAATACATCGCATGTTGGTAATTCGAAGAAATTTCTAAATAGAATTATCGAGGAATTATGCGAATTGTATAGTAAAGAAGTTATGAAAGGAAACTCTGAAGATTCAATTCTTCACTCGATAAATTATTATCTGGTGAATAAGCGGCAAACTCCAAAAGAAATAATTAATTTATGTTTAAATAATCAAGAAAAATCAATTATTAAATCCAATCCTATAATTCAAAATATTCTTGCATGTTGTTATAAATATGGAAAATGGATTAATAAGGATGAAAATCAAGCATTTTTTCATTATAAAAAATCTGCTGAAATGAAAAATTTTATTGGAATTACTAATCTAGGTAATTGCTATGAAAATGGAATTGGTGTTGAAAAAAACAATTATGAAGCATTTATTTATTATAAAATGTCAGCAGAAATGAATGATTCATATGGAATTATTCATCTCGGTGATTGTTATAAGAATGGAATTTGTGTAAAAAAAGATAATAATAAAGCATTCACCTATTATAAAAAATCTGCTGAAATGAACCATGCAAATGGAATAAATAATGTTGGATATTGTCTTCAAAATGGAATAGGTGTCGAAAAAGATGTGAATAAAGCATTTGTGCTTTATCAAAAATCTGCAAAGATGGGAAATTCTGTTGCGAAAATTAACCTTGGAAATTGCTATCAAAATGGAATAGGTGTTGAAAAAGATGAACAAAAGGCGTTCAAATATTATTATAAATCCTCAGAGATGGGAAATGCTATTGCAATAAATCAGGTTGGTTATTGCTATGAAAATGGAATAGGAGTTGTAAAAGATGAACGTAAGGCATTCGAATATTATCAAAAATCAGCAGAGATGGGAAATGCTACTGCGATATGTAACCTTGAAAATTGTTATCGAAATGGAATTGGTGTTGAAAAAAATGAACAGAAAGCATTTGAATACTGTCAAAAATCCGCAGAAATGAGAAATGCCATTGCGAGAAGTCAAATTGGTTATTGTTATCGAAATATAATAGGAGATGAAGAAGATAAACATAAGGAACATTATCAAAAATTAGCTGAAATGAGTGATGTTAACGGAGTAAGTGCACTTGGTGTCTGTTATCAATATGGAATAGGAGTTGAAAGAGATGATCACAAGGCATTCGAATATTATCAGAAATCCGCAGATATGGGAGATACTTTTTCGATAGTTCAAGTTGGTTATTGTTACGAAAATGAAATAGGAGTTGAAAAGGATGAACATAAGGCATCAGAATATTATCAGAAATCTATAGAGATGGGAATACTATTGCGATAGATCAAGTTTGCTAATGTTCGAATATTATCAAAATCCACAGAGAAGTGAAATGCTCTTTTGATATATAATCTTGTATATTGTTAATTAATACAGAATAGGAATTGGAAAGGCATTCGAATGTTTTAGAAAATGCTTAGGAAATATTATGGGACGAATAGGTTTGGCTAATATCGAATTAGGATCGAGCACAAGCGGATGTTCTTTGGTTTTAAAAAGAGATAGTTATCAGGAAAGGATAAAATTAATATAAAGATCTTGAAATTGAGATATCAATTAACATTGATTCCTTATGAAGAATTTAAAAAATATCAAAAAATAGAAGGTGGATTTGCTAGTTTATAGTGCGGAATGACAAAAATAAATTATTTCTCGTTACCTGACCGGGTAACTTTTTAGAAAAGTTAAACATTTTTACTATATAAAATCTTTTTATTCTTGTGTGAAAAAAATTTTGCAAAAATTTTTTATATTAAAAAAAATTTTAAATATACCATTTTTTGCCGGCCGGTCGGATCCTATATGCTTGTTTTATGTAATGAGAAACAATTACAGCTGTTATGCCAAAAAACCAACCCGAATGATTATTCTGCCGATTCGATAAGTTATATATTTCGGGAATAATAATAATAAGATTCAGTAACAAATAT